AAGCTGACATTTGAAGCGAGAAAAGTCCGTATTTTGAAAAGCATCTTTTTGCAAAACGAGAACTGACTACGCGTGCAAGACTTCGTTTATTTTGTTTAGTTTTATTTTTTTTTTGTACAATCACACTTGTAAACGCTTAGGTTCTTGAGCCGTAGCAAACACAGTTTTGTCCATGAAAAGGGGAAATCTTCTTAAATTTTTCTCTTTAAGAAGTTAGTTGACAATGAAAAAGGGAATGAGTTTTATTGAGTAGGTGCCCTAAAGGTGTCTTCTTTTTTCGCAATTGGGAGAGACCAGATCGTGTTTTGAAGAATTCAGTTTTAAGTAGGTAGTTACTACAAAAATCGCCTTGCATCCCAATGTTTAAAAAGGCTGAATTGAAATTCATTTTTGTATGTTAGTCTTTTTCCGCTGTAAGTCCATTACATTTCGTGGAAGTGGTAGACGGAATTAAGTTCAAAGGTGTCTGCTTTCAGGTTCTCTATTAAGAGACCAATTCCAATTGTAGCGACCAATCTTCTCCCGTTTACAGCTTTCCTTGGTCTTTGGACAAAGCAAGTCCATTTGCCACTTTTGAAACGATTACGGCCGAAATATTTCCCGCAAGTTTTTCTTTGACTGTTAGTCAGGTGGGGACGCGCCCATCAGCGCGGTCATTTTTGGTCATTTTTCCCTTGTCTCTAGTAACAATCCCAGAAGTCTTTGCGAAAGTTAACTCGTCCCAGTTTCCTTCTCGAATTGCTCGTTCTCACCAAATTTCGTCTCGTAGACTTCGCATCCTCACGTCATATTCTCGTCCAAACGAAGTATTTTCTTCATTGTGCTTTTTACAATTTGGCGAATCTCTCGGTACCGCCAGCAATAAACAATGGGATTTAATGATGAATTCAGGTAAATTAAGAATAACGACGCACATTTGGCTATGAGAAACGAAACTATAGAAGTATTAATCACGTACAATATTACAGAAGGCAAAAAAGGGAGATAACAAACTAGAAAATCAAAAAACATAAATAAAGCATTATAAGCGGACTTCCTTTGTCTGAGTGCCTCCCTTGTTTCTGCATTTTGAAGTTGATTTTAACTGTACATCTGATTCTGGTGATATTTGACGACTTTGTAAATACGAACATATGCCACTGTTGTCAGAACATACCCTACCAGTAAAATAACTGCAGTTACCATTTCATTGCTTTTCGAGAGGAAAATGTATATCAAGGCTGTGATACAATTTGTTAACCATATAGATAACAATACTATAGTGACACGTTTGGACGTGACAAGCTCTTGATATCGCAGATGGAGCGAAACGGCGAGAAGACTGTGGAGTGCGATGGTCGTGAGAGTTAGGAGAGATGCAGCGCAGAGAAAAAACAAGAGATAACAGTCTTCAAATTTATAACTGTTGGACAGAGTGACGTTAAGTTGTAGTCTTCTTTTGATGCTGTCTTCAGTATCACTGCATAAATAGTGCCGGCCATTAGCTGCGACACCAATCCACCCCAAGATCAGAGAAAGCCAGACTAAGGAACAGCTTCTTTTCGTTGTCTGTTATTGATGAAGCTTTCAGTAAGGCGCAAATTACTAAAATATTTCCAAGACTTGTCACAAGAGAAAACAGGAAGTCTGAAACACAGAGAGAAAAGAAGAAAGTTTCTCTGTAACGGACAAGTTGCAGATAACCTTCCAAAGTTCGATTGCAGTACTGTTCAGTCAATTTTTTATCTTGCCGGTTGTTTTTCAAGCATTTTACATTAGTCACCTCTTTTCCGTTCCTTTTTTACAATAGCCGACTACTTTGACGCTCGATGTTAATGAAGACGGGTTAATATGCCTCAAACGCAGTGTGTATCTTTTGTAGAGTACAGGATTGTAAGGCCGTTTAGTAACATATGTTTTGAAAACACAACGTTTAAAATGTGCGTTTCCATCAAGTTCCAATTACCTCTTTGTTGATAACCGAGCTGCAAGTAGTTTCAAGCTGGGAAAGATGTGCTTGTTTAATCTAAAACGGCTGGTTTAACGATAGAAGGTTAAATCATTCTAGAAAGTTAAAACGGCGAGTTTTTTCTCTCAATTTAACCGACCAGCCGGAAATCTTTGAAACCTAATAAAGTAGTGATGGATTTTTTTAAATTCTATTTGTTTTAAAATTCTAAGCCATCCGACGCAAACTTTCAGTTTGAAAAATTTAACGCCTGTTTCGTAGTTTAATGCGGCGTCAGCGAGGGTTTTGCGTTTTCAAAGCCGGTGAGGTTTCTGGAAGGTTTGAACCTAATAGTTTGGTCCTTTCTCATCAGTCGGTGGAATTTGAAATGCGTTTTCTTGGCAAAGATCCATGACCACTTTGTGCAAGAATTATACTTGTCACATATTGATCCTTTAAACTGTAATGTCTATATTCAAATTCTCATTTATTGTCCCTATACATTTCCTATAATAGTAGTTGGGAGAAGTTGTTCAAGAATCTGTGTGATCATGTCCATAATTCTCATGACCACTCCGTTTTCTAAAGCATAGGTATAACAAGCAGAACTTTGATGCTGATCAATCTTAGGGCTCAAAGGGCTAAGCACAGTTAGACCATCACATGACAAGATCCTCGTAACTTTGTTCCTGTGATAAATTTGTGAAAGTTATAACGGTGACCACATTACTAGTCATGTGTCATTTCCCAATTTTTAAACATTATTTCCATTTTAATAATAATAATAATAATAATAGGTTTTTATGACGCATTTAAAGAATTCTCAATGCGCTTACAATAGTAAATAAAGTGTAAGTGAAACTATATCTAGTATTTATTCCTAAAAAGAATAGTTTTCAAACGTTGCTTAAGTAGGAACAGATTGAGAGTTTTTGATATGATCAGGTAGACTGTTCCAGATTATCGGTGTATAATATGAAAATGAGCGGTGTCCAGAAGCCACGGTATTAACAGAAGGAACTTGTAAAAGCAATCTATTAGAGGAGCGGAGTAAACGAGCCGGCTAGTATTTGAGAAGGAGTGAAGATAAATAGTAAGGAGCTAAATCGTTTAAATTTTTAAATGTTAAAAGTAATATTTTAAAATCGATGTGTGCGCAAATCGGAAGCCAGTTTTATAATAGACTATTCTTTTTCGTTTTACATTTTTCATTTTCTTTTGGACTAAGGCAAGTCCCTTAGTTTTTCAGACTTCGCAAAAACACTGAAAAGACTGTCAGTTCAAACTACCCAGATCTTTAATTCCTTCCTTATGACATGTTCTCGTTCATGTGAAATATTTGTTTTACTGTGCTTTTTACACTTTGTCGAATCTCTGGGTACCGCCAACAATAAACAAAAGGATTTAATGATGAATTCAGGTCAATCAAGAACATAGACGCAAAATGAGCTACGGGAAATGAAATTTCAGAAGTGTTAGTCAAATACGATATTGTGCAAGGCAAAAAGGGAAAATAACAAGCTAAGAAAACTACAGAGACAAATAAACTATTGTAAGCGGACTTTCTTTGTCGGTGTGCCTCTCTTGTTTGGGCATTTTGAAGCTGATTTTGACTGTATATTTGATTCTGATGATATCTGACAACTTTGTAAAGACGAATGTACGCCACGGTTGTCAGAACATATCCTATAACGGAAATAACGCCAGCTGTCATTTCAATGCCTTTCGGGAGGAAAATAAACGGGAAGGGAAAGACACAGCTTGTTAACCATAAAGACACCAACACTACTGTAACACGTCTGGGCGTGACAAGCTCCTGATATCGCAGATGGAGCGAAACAGCGAGAAGTCTATCCAGTGCAATGATAATAACACTCAGAGAAGATGCAGTGGCGAGAAGATACAGAAAATATAAATGCACAATCAAAACTGTTGGACAAAAGAAGGCTAAGTCGTCTCCACTTGATGCCATCTTCAACATCACGGCACTAATAATAGCGGTCATTAGCTGCGGTAACAATCCAACTGCAAGATCAGAGAAAGCCAGACTTAGGAACATCTTCTTGACGGTGGCTGGTATCGTTGAGGTCTTCATTAAGGCGCGGATGGCCAAAAGATTTCCTAGAGTCACCTGGAGGGAAAATACAAAGTTTAAGACACAGAAACCAAGGAAGAAACTTCTTCTGTAGGAAACCAGTTTAATCCAATAATCCAGAAATCGAGGCGTGCAGCTCTGTTCAGCCAGAGTTTTACTTGTCACAATATGCATGTATTTGTCGTGGTTAAAACTGATATGTACCTTAATTACCCCTACTTTTATTAGCTTTTTTTCACTTCGGCCATCTGCTGTAGCGCGTAATAAAGCCAGTTTACACCAATCCACCCCAAGATCAGAGAAAGCCAGACTAAGGAACAGCTTCTTTTCGTTGTCTGTTATTGATGAAGCTTTCAGTAAGGCGCAAATTACTAAAATATTTCCAAGACTTGTCACAAGAGAAAACAGGAAGTCTGAAACACAGAGAGAAAAGAAGAAAGTTTCTCTGTAACGGACAAGTTGCAGATAACCTTCCAAAGTTCGATTGCAGTACTGTTCAGTCAATTTTTTATCTTGCCGGTTGTTTTTCAAGCATTTTACATTAGTCACCTCTTTTCCGTTCCTTTTTTACAATAGCCGACTACTTTGACGCTCGATGTTAATGAAGACGGGTTAATATGCCTCAAACGCAGTGTGTATCTTTTGTAGAGTACAGGATTGTAAGGCCGTTTAGTAACATATGTTTTGAAAACACAACGTTTAAAATGTGCGTTTCCATCAAGTTCCAATTACCTCTTTGTTGATAACCGAGCTGCAAGTAGTTTCAAGCTGGGAAAGATGTGCTTGTTTAATCTAAAACGGCTGGTTTAACGATAGAAGGTTAAATCATTCTAGAAAGTTAAAACGGCGAGTTTTTTCTCTCAATTTAACCGACCAGCCGGAAATCTTTGAAACCTAATAAAGTAGTGATGGATTTTTTTAAATTCTATTTGTTTTAAAATTCTAAGCCATCCGACGCAAACTTTCAGTTTGAAAAATTTAACGCCTGTTTCGTAGTTTAATGCGGCGTCAGCGAGGGTTTTGCGTTTTCAAAGCCGGTGAGGTTTCTGGAAGGTTTGAACCTAATAGTTTGGTCCTTTCTCATCAGTCGGTGGAATTTGAAATGCGTTTTCTTGGCAAAGATCCATGACCACTTTGTGCAAGAATTATACTTGTCACATATTGATCCTTTAAACTGTAATGTCTATATTCAAATTCTCATTTATTGTCCCTATACATTTCCTATAATAGTAGTTGGGAGAAGTTGTTCAAGAATCTGTGTGATCATGTCCATAATTCTCATGACCACTCCGTTTTCTAAAGCATAGGTATAACAAGCAGAACTTTGATGCTGATCAATCTTAGGGCTCAAAGGGCTAAGCACAGTTAGACCATCACATGACAAGATCCTCGTAACTTTGTTCCTGTGATAAATTTGTGAAAGTTATAACGGTGACCACATTACTAGTCATGTGTCATTTCCCAATTTTTAAACATTATTTCCATTTTAATAATAATAATAATAATAATAGGTTTTTATGACGCATTTAAAGAATTCTCAATGCGCTTACAATAGTAAATAAAGTGTAAGTGAAACTATATCTAGTATTTATTCCTAAAAAGAATAGTTTTCAAACGTTGCTTAAGTAGGAACAGATTGAGAGTTTTTGATATGATCAGGTAGACTGTTCCAGATTATCGGTGTATAATATGAAAATGAGCGGTGTCCAGAAGCCACGGTATTAACAGAAGGAACTTGTAAAAGCAATCTATTAGAGGAGCGGAGTAAACGAGCCGGCTAGTATTTGAGAAGGAGTGAAGATAAATAGTAAGGAGCTAAATCGTTTAAATTTTTAAATGTTAAAAGTAATATTTTAAAATCGATGTGTGCGCAAATCGGAAGCCAGTTTTATAATAGACTATTCTTTTTCGTTTTACATTTTTCATTTTCTTTTGGACTAAGGCAAGTCCCTTAGTTTTTCAGACTTCGCAAAAACACTGAAAAGACTGTCAGTTCAAACTACCCAGATCTTTAATTCCTTCCTTATGACATGTTCTCGTTCATGTGAAATATTTGTTTTACTGTGCTTTTTACACTTTGTCGAATCTCTG